GTGACGATAAATCACCTTTTCGGCGAGCTTAGAAGGAGCTGACAGCAGACTTATGGGACGGTAATCCTGAGGGAATATCGAACCCACCTTCTTTGGAATCATGATGACCTCAGCAGTCTTCCACCCAGCAGGGAAGTACTGGATTTTAAGCGTCGCATTGATTATTGTCACCAAGTATGTCAGGGCTTTCGGCGAGAACAGCTTCAACGCCTTGTTGGTGATTTGATCTTCCCCAGGTGCTTTACGCCCTTGAGGTCTTTAATATGACTTAGTAACTCCGCTGGTGTGCAATGTGGAAACTCGGAGGGTTCCGCTAATGTGCTATGTGGAGCCTCAGACGAATCTTCTGAAGAAGAGTCATCTGAAAAGGATTCAGTGCCTCCGCTAACGCCGTTGGCTCTAAAATATCTCCTGACGGATCGTACGATGTGCTGTTCCTCGTCGAGGTCATTATCGAGATCATAGTTGGGAGAGAACTGTTTTTCCATGGCATCAGCGAAAACCTCGACCTTATTCTCCGTTCTGAAGACTATGCCTTCAGGACCGTGGATGTGTGGGAGTTGTTCTCGCTTTCCGTTTCTGAGTGACTTTGCGACCCTCCAGAGAGGAATACTTGAATCAAGCATTCCCGCCAGAAAGTCGCTCCATTGCTCGTTGCGGAGTTCGTGCAGTGCGTTTCTCACTTCATGGACAAGATTTGTAGCCCTACGAATGTCATCAGGATGAGTTAAGCGCGGTTATGTTACCAGGAATTTAGGTTTTGCGGTAGCCCAAAAATACGTTTGCATGCAGTTATATCAAAGAAAAATACAAAATTTATCAAAAAAATAATGGATGGTTCAGCTTCTGTTTGAAACGGGAGTCGCCAAAGCACCATAGGCAAATTATGTGAAAGTATGTAGTTTCTATCCCGCATTGAAAACATTTGAATGTCCGTCCCATCCAATTTAATTCTACGATCACTGCTAAAAAGCTATGTACCTAGTATTTTCCGGAAAGCAGTATATATTTTGTGGTACGATTATTCTAAGTTACTATGTTCATCATTAAAGTGATTATATAAAAAAAAGAAAGGAGAGAATTTTTGAATGAATGAATTTTGATAAACTAAAATTCGTTACATGATTCCATCAGAATCAATATGTTGACAGTCACTTTCACAGAATTATTGCAGTTACGTACAGATCCTCATATCGTTACCATTACCATAACTGTTGTCACGGTTCAAATAGAGTAGAAAAATGTTTTTTTTATTTGTGGGGGTGTTCTCCTGTCAGTTCGGTTAGTTCTTGAAATTTACATACATCAACAGTCATCATGCATATGTTTCTAATAATCGACGTTCTTCAACATATTACAAAAAAATAATGTTTCTGATTTCGCTACGAATAAAGACTTCGCATGGGAAAATAGCTGTTAGGGAGTGAAACAGTAGGTTATATAGACCCCAGAAGTACAAAAAACGTTTTGGTCTTCGACCATTTTGACGAATAATAGATTTTTTAAATTTACTATTTTCAAAGTCGAGTCATTTATATTAACAGTTTGTAGAACTCATCAAAAGAAGCTGATAGATATTGATGAGTCCTACAGGCAGTTAAAAATGAATAACTCAACTTTGAAAATATAAGCAAATAGGGGTCATAAACTGGGTTCTGGACTTGCTTTGGAAAAACGGTTGCTAATGTGAGATACCGTAGGCCATTCATGCCAGAAGTGCAAAAAACTTTTTGGTCTTCGGCCATTTTTACGAATAATTGATTTTTCAAATTTGCTATGTATAAACATTGGGGGGCTAGAAACGAGGCGTTCCGGACTTGCTTTCGGAAAACGGCTGGTAGGGTGTGTTTGAGAAGATTATATTCATGTGAGAAGTGCACAAAACTTTTTGGTCTTCGGTGGTTTTGAGAAACTATACATGATTACATAACATCTAAGATATTGGGTTTCAAAGGGGGATCAATTTGGGGCGTCTGTGAACGGTGTAGTTTAGACTAGTGGTCGAGACAGTTGCCAAAAATAGTAAACGTCTCTGCGGATTGCAAAAAACAGTTTGAACTGAATAAGAACAAAATTATATATTGTAGCCGTCGACATTGTGAAAGGGTATGTACCTTTATATTGGACAATTTTGAGGTAATTATGATTTATTTCATTTCACCTCTTGTTTCATCGGGCACTAATAATAGTAATAATAGAATCAGACCATTATTGAGGAAAACAAATCTATGTAATATGTAACAATCAGTCTTTATCACATATTACTTAGGTAAGGAAAGCTAAAACAGTGTTTCGTTTGTCTCTTGAAACACATAATAAATAATTTTGTTTCTAGCACTTTGTGAAAAAACAGAAAAAAAAAACAAAAATAACAACTCATGGCCTGTTGCACCAATACCATTTAATGTTAGTTTAGACGGAAACCTAGCATAATTTGAAGATTTATATTGCACAAGTACTTAAACCCCATTTGAAATCTTGTTGAACTTGAACGATCAATTGTTGCAGTTTAGATCGTCTAACTTATTTTAACTCTCAGAATAGGTGGATTCGACTTTATCATCCAAAGACCACGATTCGGGTGGATCCTGGACAGAAAGTTCATCACTATGCTTAACGGGCCGCAACACTGATGGTAAATTAAAATACTTAATAGTATGTTTCGATTTTGGTCCAATACCTTTAATATTTGTGAGGCAAAAATAGCAATCAGTAGTATGGTCTCTCGGTTCTCTCCAAACCATTGGTACCTCATAGGGCATTATACGATTGTCGCCTCTTAACCAACCTGTTAACAACGTTACACAAGTCTTACAACATATATGAGGGGCCCATAGTTTATCTTGGTCTGCAACTTTAATTCCAAAATAAAGTTCGTATGCTTTCAACGCAAGGGGAGTCAAAATACGTTTTTGGGATTTAAAAGTTAGCTCTCCGCACACATAACAAAAACTGTTCGGACTATTTACACAATTTCTAGGCATTGTCTATAAAGCTAGTCTCGATCACAATAAATTAAAAACAACACACCGTTTTAACAAAAATTAACAGTACTCAGAACATCTCAGTACTCGTCAACACAGAAAACGTAACTGACTCGGCTGCTATTAGTCTACTAATAAACCCAATATGCTCTCTAAACATAGAGCTCGCATATGAGATATTACGTATTGTAATTCATAAAAGTAGATGTTACCGAATATCTGTGGGTGATAGAAAAATTCTGTTTTTAGATTTGATTTAAGGGTCTCAAAATACATAAGATATACCCCAAATGTCACAAATCCTGTGTGTTATCAGTGTATTTTAAAGGATAATTTGGGTACCCTTAAACTAATAAACAGTGGTTTTCTATAAAAATTATTCAAAAACAGAAACTATTTCTTAGAGATTAGGAATTATGGCATTTTTAGGAAATTTAGTTTGTACAGTCGTGAATTTTCTTTTTGAATTAAATAAAAAAGTCCCTAGATTTCTGTAGTCTTAAAAAACTCAAATTCATTGTTGGTGCAACAGGCCATTAGAACGTAATATAATGATCATAATGGACAGTCTGATATTATATGCCATGAATAACATTTTCAACATTTTTCTCAAGAAAATTTGACTTCTTTTGAATCTGAATAAATTTGCCTGAAGGCACCCGATACATAGTTAAAGTTTCTGCGGAAACTAAACCGAAGCTCTGATCTTGATCCGAAACTGGCCGAAACCTTCCAAAATCAGAATTGAGCAGAATTGTTAATAAATATTTATTTTAATTTCTTTGCCTTGTTTAATGTATTTAATAATCGAGCTATTCACCATTCATATCGCAACATAGATATTTCTGCCTTGCTCTAAATAGTACACACAGTACGAAAAGCTACCTGAATATCCTTTCCAAAGAAAAGAGTGTACGGCGATGTATTTTTTTGTCAATTTGGTAGGCAAATTATACAGAAGTATGCATTAAAACTATACAATTTTGGCGATAAACGATACAATTGCAGTTGTTACCGACACCTCCGCCTATGATGGGGTAATAAATATGGTTAGGATATTTAGAGGTGCATCCAAGTCGCATCTTTTTTGTTTATGTTATTTCAAGTGGCTAGAGAGAGGCTGGCTTAACGTGGAATACGTCGTAAATCAAGTCCGCGTCTATTCATTATTGGTAAAACAAAGGACAAAGGAAAGAGTATTCCAATACCGTTGTTTTAAATACCTGGATTCATTTAAACATAAATATTTTTTTAATATTCTAATCAAAAAAGGGATATACGCACTTTAAATTTGATATTTATGTATGTCCTTAAGTTAGACAAAAATATATAATAAAATAAAAATATAGGACTATGATAAATAAAATTTTAAATATCATTTTTATACCCCAGTGGTACTCAAATTAATCGTATAATAAACAATATTGATTTTTATAAGAAAATAATAAAATAAATCTTATTCAGCAAATATATGAAAGTTACACAATGAACACCTACATAATTAAAAATGAAACTTCCCTTTTTATATATCTATTTTATCTGATGGTATCACATACAAATTATAACAGGTATTTATTGTAAAATAGAATGGTAATACTTAACAACCACAAGTGCATACGTAATCTAATCTCGTTCCTTAAGCGACCTGTTTGTGCCATCCACAACCACCGCGAACGTGTTCTAACACGCTTACGATGCGTAAAGCGAAAAGAAATATTCATAAGGATAGCCAAACAGTATTCGAAAACAGGATTCCAATACAGGATTCGAATACCGGTATTTGAATACAAAGTCGGTATTAGAATATAGGGATTCAAAAATGGTATTCAGAATCCAGAATGTACTCTGAATATGATTCAAAATATCGAGTACCTATTTGAATACTACAAAAGTCTGTTCTGACCTATTCGAACTCTTTGGATAACAGCGATATCTGTTCATCCTACCAGAGCTTAGAAGAACGTTGGGGTAAATGCAAGCTCGCTCGCGAGTACTATGCCATGTGCTTTCTCTGAATTTCAGGTGTCTTTCAGACTACAGACGGCAGTGCACCGTCGCGACGCGAACAGCTGAACATCGCTGTTGACCACGTGCGAGCGGCATTTGTTACGTCGTCGTCGATTGTTTTTGGCGCGTCGCTGACCGCGATTTAGGGGTTGTTCAGTGAGGGAATGAAATTTTGACTGTTTTGCTGGCGGGCGTGCTTCTGTGAGTAGATTCATACAAATATTATTTCCACTTGTATTATTTTCATCTTAGTATAATTACATGTTTTGTTACTCTGTCTTGTCGATTATTTTTATTGCGACGCGTTCTGAAGTTGGGGCGGGACAATGAAAATTTGATCGATTGTGGTGAATGTGCTTCTGTGCATAGGACATCCCTGCAATTTTTGGTTTACTTCCCTACTGGCGAAGAAATATTGTAATACGGTCTCGTCGTTTGTTATTTAAGCGGTTCGCAGGACCTTGGCTCTTGTATAGCAGAAGGACGTTTCTTTCTTCAAAATCTTCCTGAGCGTAGCCAGGGGAAATTTTTTATTGAATAGAAGATAAGGACAGGCGAAGGAAAGGAAGTAACGGAGAAAGGGGAGAAAAAAGGGGGAAAAGAATCAATTAATAAGAGGGAACACTGTTTGATTTGTATTTAGAGTAATGCCAAAAGATTGATAATTTAGAGAGCTAGACGGTGTTTTTTTATGTTTAGGTACTTGAGCATAGTCCACTGCGACACTCAACAAAGGGTTATTATGGAGCTTGTGCTGTCGGAACGCTTCCAAGTATTGTAATGGCAAAAAACATCGAAATTGTAATATTGTGTTTTTTGTTTGTTACATGGCGAAACATGTTGAAACTGAGATATTATGGTTTTGGATGTTATGTGACATGTAGATCACGTTAAAACGAAAAAACTACCGCCCAAACTTCGTTTTCTGACGTTTCACCTGATCATTTTGTAAGTGTTAAACATTAGGGGTTGGTATATTGGTGGAGGGCATACACGCTCCCAACCTCGGCAATTCTACACACCTATTGGATGTATTACAGACATCATAGATTATACCGTACATTTGGGTTTACAGTTTAGAAACATACAGAAATGTGTTCGTCTTTGATTCTGCTGTCGGGGTTAACCGGCGGACGTACCGGTCTCTATAAGTGTCCTAGCATTACTGCAGCGTCGCGTTGTCAGATATGGGGGAGAGGCAACGTTGCCAGATGATGATACTACCGGATCTGGACCTGTTTGACTGTCTTGATCCGTTTGATTTCCCCCTATCCATGTGCTTAGCTAACCTATTTTCTTAGAGTCCTTCTGAGCAGGGGTGATCTAATCGGCCCTAAATATCGCTTTAACCGCAAGTATCCAACGCGGGCGGAGTAAGACAATTCATTCATTCTTAGAGTTCCTATCTTGTGCAGAACATAATTCTTTATGCACTGAAAACAGCGTTACATGGAAAGTGCAGAGTCAACCTACTCGACGCTATCTACTTGAATTGATTGATATTGGTCCAAAAACATATTTAAAATTTTAACATTTACACGTAATGCTTTATGATCTCGACTGGTATGAACTAAAACGTTCACATGTTGCGAGACATTTATCATTCATCAACGTGATAAGTGACCTACGACAACTGTTTATACAATAATTCCGTTATACATCCATAAAGTAAGCTGAGAAAGGAAGGGCAGCAAGAACCCGTATCGTTCTTTAAAATATATATATGTTTTCAATGTTACACACTACAAAAAGCAGAAGGCCGACATTCCTGCATCTGCTAAGTGCTTGCTAATTGGTGTTTTGCTGTTCTCTGCTGTTGAGCAAACAACTCAGATGCAAACTCTACACTAAGTGACGGAATACACTTTAACTCAACAGTAATTCCCCCTTAATTCAGCTAATGCAGGTTGTAGTACCGAGTTTCGAATTTTGCAAAGACTGCAAGTTATTTTCTATTTTTTGAGCTACTTGTGTCCAGAGCCTAACATTAATGTATCTATAGGAATTTATGTTGCTTCTTAATTAATTTGAAAAAATATGCTTCTTTATACAGACATATTTTTGAAGTATTACTGCCGATGCGTACGTTGGGGTTAGATTTCTGGGTAAATATGATATTTACACGTAGATTCAATGTAACTCCTCCACTTATCCCGTGGTTTATCTCCATGTTATAGGTTGTCTCAATGTTGAAGAAACATTTCGGCCATTAAACTTTCGGTACCTTGAAAAAAATCGCAATGTTAGTAAGGACTTCCTTCGACACCTGTTTCATTTATCGGTCAAGGAAACATGTGTAATGATCGTAATTTGATTTACTGTTTGCTCTCACCGTCAATACATATGTTTTAAAATGTTTTGACATGATCGAATACGCGACTTTTTTACTTCCCATGCCTGCCGGCGAGAAAGTATTGTAATCGCGAAAATTTTCGAAAGTTAGATATGTGTTTTTGATATTATATGACATGTATATCACGAAAACCACGTCACTCATGTCTGTATGTCTACCCGCTAAACTTATAACCGCTTATAACTAGAGAAGTACATCTCGGATTTCTATGAAATTTTTACACAATCTTTCTATTACGCTAAAGATTCAAAAGCTTTGAAAAAGAATTAAAATTGCTTAAACCTTATTTGAGAGGATCGGGATTATTTTTGAAAAATCCATCCTTGTTGAGTTTCCGTTTTTTTCTAAACTTTGACCTAATCTGGTTCCTAATCAAATTAAAAGAAAAACCTGTCATTAGTTGGTAAAAACCAGAAGCTTCCCTATCCACTTTACTTATAATCTTGGAGAATAATTATAATTACTGCAATATAATTATTGGTGTTATCACCACCATTAGTCTAAAAGGAACCGTGTTTATAGTAGTAATTAAATCCATCAAAATCTTTCATCGTCTGTCGCAACATTTCGAAAATAATTTCTAATTCTCAATGCCATACGGCTAAAAAAAATTTTGTTCTATGCTCTGGCTATCTAGGTTATTCTTCCTGTGTGTACGCGTATAAGTACGGAACGCTTGTGAAATATTTGATATCAGATTTAAGATCTACCTCATATTATATGCTATGACATGCTTTATGCTATATTTCATGGATATTAGGAACTGAGAATGTGATTATTTTATCCGTTATTGTCTATCAGAATGATTCGTAGGACCTGTGGAATTGTTTAAAGCTCATTAACCTTTCACAGCTTGGTAGGTCTGTCAAGTCTGGTTAGTCTTGAAAAAAAAAAGAGAAGAAGAGGGAAGATAAGGAAGGAAGAAAACAAAGAGAGGAAGTGTGTAGAGTTGCTTTGGCATGGTATTAAAATTGAACTAAGAAATTCCGTTCGAGGGTTACCGTTAAAAAAATTCAATTTGCTTGGGCCTAAAAATGCAGGACTTTTTTGTTCTTGTATGCTTAAGAATGTGCTACTGGGAAACCCTGCACAACAGAAACATAGATGCCTACGTGCTTGAACACTACACATGTTACAACTCAAGGATCATAAACCTCAGGAGGATTCAAAATAAACGATTTAGGCAAGGAGGTGCCTTTAGCCCTACACCATTTTTCATGGTCATGGGCATGCATTTAAGGCCGTAAAGAATACAACCAGAAAAGATCCTATAGGGTTTTACAAAATGAGAGCACTTGATATAGCAGAGTGTGTTTCATAGACGATTTGCTGTTATGTATCAGCAACCCAAAAGATTTACAGAACAATCTGGAGCGAAGAGTTGCTAAAGAGAAGCATGAAGATAAACATTACCAAAGCGACAATCATGAATTCTACAAAATGAAAAACACTTAAAATCATATCTAAAGGAAAACATATAGATCAAGTACATACTTTCAAATACCTCGGCATCCAAATACAGGAAGACGGAGCAATTGTTGAAGAAATAAGAGAAATATTACTGAAGGCATAGAACCTGTATCACAGCATAAAAGATTGTTTATATTAAAAAAAGAGATAAGTAGAAAAACCAAGATTACTGTATATTAAACCATTTTCATATTTGTTCTCAGTTTTGGAGATGAAGCATTAGGAAAGAGATTATAAGAAATGAATTACGACTTATGTAGATCCGTCTTAGAAAACCTGTTGCAGTGGCTTGGACATCTAATACTCATAGGAGAGTCTAGACCGGTAAAACGGATATGAAAGGCAAAAGTTATGAAGAAATAAATAGAGGGAGACCAAAGAAGACATGGCATCGATCGAATTGCCTCAATACTGAAGAACAGAGGACTTAGCTGGACAAAAGCTGTATGACAGACCAGGGGCAAAAAGACGTGACCGAAATTGGTGCACAATGTTTCAGAACAATGAAAATGCATAACGAACAATTTGTTTACTTCATGCCTCGGGGTACCCTAGGTCACAGATTATATAATATACAAGAATGTAACATCTGATCAAATCATTCAAATATCATCATATATGAGCAATAAGGCTTACCTGCTTACCTACTACCCACACATATTGGGACTCCAAAATCCGGAAAACCTGTCATTTGAATTATATTCTGTTATACGAGTAGTCTACAAAAAGATACATGTACAAAGTTGGATTGTTGCATACGTAATTTGGCTATAAACTATGAAATTTACCATTTACGGGTTTGGCCTAGGAATGGGCACTCTACCATTAATAAAGAGTAATTCAAATTACTAGTAAGTGATCAAAATAGTAAAAAAAAGGTTACGTGATTTTGGCACGTCATAAAGTCGTACCATATAAGAACAAAATGCCTGCTTGTCACCAAATGCGGTCCAAATTACATTTCGGCAGCTCTGCCCTATGTCGCGAGGAACCTCGAAATTGAGTTTGACCAACAAAGATCGCAATACATTGGACCAGTAATCACTTACACATGTGCGGCTTCCAAAGAGACCCTTCATAGAGACGTAGACATCCCTTACCTATCAAACAACAGAATCGTACAGCAACCCTTTGTTGCGTAAGTGGGTAGACAAGAGCACAAGATCGCGACTCGCATTGTGAACAACATTAAAACGTGCCATATCAGATCCAAACATTTTTTTCACAACAATCAATCCCTAAATTGACATTTGGATCATTTCAAAATTCGCGAATACTTCTTGACAATGCCAAGGCACCCGTTCAAGCGACGCACTTCCTCCTCTTTGCTCTTGTCCTTTCTTTCTCTTTTTTCTACCTGTTTTTGTCTGGTACCTGG